CACACAGTACCACGCAGATCACCTCCTCCTCAACCAAGGGCAGATGTAAATACCAAAAAAATGCTACAGACAGGTTGTTGTACTGTTAAGCCTCTAAAGTCTAAAATGCTACAGACAGGTTGCTGTACTGTGAAACCTTTCTAAAAAGTGGAAGAATTAATATTGTACGTAGTAGTATACGAAGTATATAAGAAGCAGTTTGGTGTTATTGTATATCTGCAACAGGATAGACCGATAGAGGGAGATTCTGACAAATAATAGCTTATAAATCACATCTTAGAATATTATGAACATAAGAATCAAAGGTGCACATCATATTAAACCAAAATATTATTGGTTGAATAACAGTAGTATACCCTCCAGAGTTAGGCCATATCTCCTTCCAATTTTTTATTTAATATACAAAAATTGACTTGATGTGTCACTGTTTTCGGAAAAAGCCCTTAAAAGTTGACTTTATGTCTTTATGAAGGCCGGCTTACATACTGATCTTTTTGTCTAACACCACAACAAACGTTCAGCCTGCGTGGAGAATAAAAGGTAAAGGCATTAAGGTGATCTAATAATACTACTAAGCAGAGGGTAAACTATATGTCATGTTACGCACAGGTGAAAAGCCATACGCATGGATTGGGTACCATAGTTGGTCTAAGAGAAGATAATCGCTTCAGTCAAAGACTCAAAACGAACTCTAATCAGAATTAGTTATCTCACACAGCCAAAATTCCAAATGACATGAAGTACAATAAAAACTAAAATTCAAACTAACAATCATTCAAAGGAAATTTAGAAAGAGCATACCCACCAGGCAACCAGTAAGTGAGTTACGTGATTCCCAATGATTCCCATGTAAAGAAAAATATTTTACGAATTAACACCTTTGTATCATAATCAACACAATGATAGTATAATCAGTTGCCACTCACCTACTATAATAGGGTTTTCTCTATTGTTATGGAGCTCATGTTGAACCTAAAACATATATTAATCCTTAAGTAAAGGCACGGTTCTGCCTGAGACCATATCTCTTCTTAGTACTTATAGTGAGTTCCAAATATGGAGTGTAACCATCCTGTATAAATAAGAGACAATCCCATTAACATCTATATTTTTTTCATGAGCAAAATTAACAATTGTACTTTTTCCAATCTCAATCAAGTGAACTCTTTTATAGAAAAAAGGTGCAGTTTGATCTAATTGTAAGTATAACTATCAAACTTGGATGTTCTTCTTCTAAGCAGAAAAAACAAAGTAGCTTAGCCTTTAACCTTTTTTTAAATGCTTATGGGATGGTTAATATAAAGCAGTTTTCTGAAATTATATGAAATGGGTCTATGATCTATCTGTTGGCCGCAATATATCCATCGTCATGATCAGAAAGATTTAGGAGAAAACATATAATCATCATACAGATATCCTAAGATCATTGCTTCATAGTTTTTGTTTAAAAATAAGAAAAAAATGAAATGGAGCATGATACATAGGTAAATGTGAATGTGAAACTTAACAATTTTATCTTATTTTTTGAAGAAGAATGACTAAGATTGCATAAGATATGCTGAAAGATAACAAACTATCCCATATACCATTAGTGTGATTAGGATCCATTTCCCAAATCCTGGCTCATATCCTTTGAGGGCTGTAGCATTTGAGAAAACACAAAATTAGTAAATGTAATTTAAAAATAAATAAATGAAGGATAAACTAAAGAGCTTCCTATTTATGTTGTGTATCCTAAACTTCATTTGTGAACAAAATTCCTTCCGGCCAGAATGAAATTACATTCAGAATGCCAAAAAACTGAAAAGAAGGAAGATATTTTCTTAAAAACAAACCAATAACATAAAAAAGTATCGTCAAATGGTGTGAATGTGGTATATGGTATTGAAGAACACTATTTAACTCAAATTAGGAACCTAAATTAAACTAACTCTTTCAGAAAATGCAGGGCACACAGAAGTACGCACGTAGTCCATGTAATGCACTAAGACCATTGGTTCTATTGGAAGTCAAAAGTATTGTCTGGATGACATCTTTTTAGAATCTATAGGGCAAATGCTCGACAAATAACGAAGAAGAAATACAACGAAGAGTTAACCAAAACCATACTAAAGAAGAATTGGTCTATCTAGGGATTATATGAATGAAAGGGATCTGGACGATTACCAGTAGCCTGTAACTCTGAGACGGGGGATTGGATGAGCGCCGATAGCGGGGGATGATGTGAGGGAAGGTATTTCAGGCGTTGGGCCGGTGTGAGATGGAGAAGGAATCAAGAGCATCGAAAAATCTGGGAAGGAGCAGCACCTTGATTTGTTGAGGTTATTCAGATTTGAGAAGAAGAATTGTCGATAGGGATGATATGGGAACTCCGATGATATGATTTCAGGCGTATCGGTGGATTTGAGGTGTAGAAGGAACCGCAGAAGGAAGGAAGTTAGAAGCCTTAGATTAGGTGCGATAAAATCCTACGGATGAAAATGAGAGGCCTGGTGAGCGAGAATTCTTTTCCAAGAATTGTAGTGCTATTAAGGAGGGGATTCTCTACTTTTGGAAGGAAATGAAAGTACAATGCTAAATCTAATTGACTAATTAGACTAGGGGCCAATTATGCAAGTAAGGTGTGTTCACTTTCTTGCCATTTTTGGGACTCCATGAGAATACTATTATTGAGCAATCATAGTAATTAGATATAAGTGCATATGATGCTTTATGGAAAATTTAATACAACACAACATTGATTAGGATGTTTTCTTTTTGGACTGAAATTTGTTGGTTTGGTCTGGTCTGGTCCGATATAGTCTGAAGTGGTATGATCTAGTAAATATCTGATCTCTATGTATTTTATAACTATGGAAGTATGATCTGGTTTGATCTAGCCTGATCTGGTTTGGGACTACTGAAAATAATCTAAAAGAAAACATCCTTAATAAGTCTAAACCAAAACATCCTTAGTATTTTTGTCCCAATAAATTTGAATATGAAGCAAGTTTTAACAAAAAATAAAGAATAAAGTTGGTGTCTTACAATTCCATATTTAAAAGGTAAGAAAAATAGGACGAGTCACAAAAGTGAAAATGTGATATGGTAATTTAGAAAAGTATTACTAACTTGTCTCAATTTGTAAGATACACGTTTCTTTTTGTTGTCCTATAACTTTATCTATGATAATTTTGTTACTTTTTGAAGTTAGAATGGTAAAATAAACACAATTTATTTTCTAAAAAGTCACACCAAACCCACAAATTTTACATTATAGGATGAGGTCAGAAACTAAATTGATAGGCCATGTAACTACGTTCATACTATGAACTAATGAACTAAATTGATAGGTCATGTGCTACGTTCATACTGTAGACGGGTGGTGCTATTTAATTCGTGTTACATTTAATCATTTATGCACATAAAAATTTGGTTCTATATGATCTGATCGTGGGATAGAGCACTTCAGAAAAACACATACAAATTGGTGGAGGATCTTTCATAATTACAGATACAACAACATCCAAATAAACCTTAATCCCAAAAGAATTCGGGATCGGCTGACATGAATCGATCTATTATATCAATGACAAACAGAGAGGACAGACAAGAAGGGAAAAAAAAGAAAAAAAAAAAGAGTAAGATAAAATGGATAAAACAAAGATAAATAAATATAAGATAACAATAACATAAGAATATAAGAAAGATAAAAGATAGAAAGATAAAAAAACATAAAAAAGCTAGGAGATAAAAATAACATTAGAATATAAAAAGATAAAGAAGATAAACGATAAAAGAGAAGAGAGAGGAAAGGTAGAAAAGACATCAATCGTCCACACGGATGTGCGCCCTCCACATAGCTCTATGACTCTATCCAAAGTCATACTCTCATCCAACCCAAAAAGACGCATATCTATTCTGATTCCTCTAATCCAAGTATGTTTGGGTCTTCCCCTTCCTCTCTTCTCTACCTCTTCTCCCCATCCCTCAAGTCATCTCACAGGTGCATCACCTGGTCTTCTACGCACATGCCCAAACCACCGCAAACGAGACTTACATCTTATCTTCTTTAAGTGTTACTCCCACCTTTTGTCTGATTATCTCATTCCTCAAGCGGTCTTTTCTGGTAAGTCCACACATCCAACACAATATAAGCATCTTTGTCACACTCATCTTTTGAATGTGGCATTTCACCAAACACTCTATGTCATACATTAATGCAGACCTAATTGTTGTCGGTAAAATTAACCTTTCAGTCTATTCGGCATACTTCGATCGCATAGAAATCTTGAGGCATTCTTCCATTCCATCCACCCAGCTTTGATTCTATGGCATACATCTCCATCTAATTCACCCAGATCTAAGTAACAGAACATATCATACACCAGTATCTCCTTACCATCAAGAGTAATCCCACTGTTGCTACTATTTCTACCTCCACCAAACTTGCACTCCATATACTCAGTCTTGCTTCGGCTCAGTCTGAAACCCTTGATCTCCAATGTTTGTCGTCATACTTCCAACTTTGCTTTAACACCGCATTGCGTCTCGTCAATCAATACAGTATCGTCGGCAAACATCGTGCACCACAGTATATCTTCTTGAATTAACTTCGTAAGTTCATCCATGACTATAACAAACAAGAAAGGACTCAGAGCATATCATTTGTGTACTTTGATAGTAATAGGGGACTCTGCGGTCCTCCCTACACTAGTGCTGACACTTATAGTACAAGCATCATACATATCCATGATGATACTGATATACTTACGTGATATACCTTTTCTGGTTAAGGCCCACCAAAGGATTTTTCAAGGTACCCTATCATATCACTTTTCTAAGTCAATAAACACCAAATGCAGATTCTTTTTAGTGTCTCTATACTTCTCCATAACTTGTCTAAGAAGGTGAATGACCTCAGTTGTAGAGTGTACTTTCATAATTACAGATCTTAGGTAAAAAAAAAAGGCAACGCTTAGTCCTTATCATCATCTTACTTCAATTATGCAGTAGTATGCAAAAGGAAACTTAGGTAAACAGTATAATCATTCTTTTGCATCATGTTTCTAAATTTGTACACATCAAAATGAATTACTAGCTGAACTATAACTGGAATGCCTAGTAGTACTATTGCAAGGTGAAATCCTAAGCAACATATCAAGAACCTCTTTCATATTTGGCCGTAGACGTGGCACCTCATTGGTACACAAAATCCCAATCCTCAACAATTCATGCATCTCCTCTGCCCCGTCGGCCAATCCAGGGACTAATGGAGGCGAGGCCCAGCCGGTAGATTCTCTCAGGCCATCTACCACTACCCGTCGCGCCCATTCCAGTAAGCATTCTTCATCCCCTACTCCTTCAACTGCCCGTCTCGCGGCTGCTAGCTCCATGGTTAGCACTCCGTAGCTGTACACGTCGCCCTTTGTAGTAGCCTGCCACGTCTGCCCATACTCAGGTGCCACATATCCGATCGTCCCGGCCACCATCGTGCTAATGTGAGTCTTGGACACGTCCATGATTCTAGCAAGGCCGAAATCCGTGACACGGGCCTGGCCAGCCCCATCTAAGAGCACGTTGCTCGCTTTGACGTCTCTATGTATGATGCAAGGGTAACACTCGTGGTGCAAAAAGGCCAAGGCGCGCGCCACGTCTATTGCAATTCTTAGGCGTTTCTTCCACGGCATTGAGGTCCTGTCTGTGATGAAATTTTCCAAACTACCCCCTTCCATGAACTCATAGACAAGCAACTTCTCGGAGCCATCAAGGCACCACCCGTAGAGTGTGACAAGGTTGGGATGAGGCCATCCGAATCCGTTTCCGCTTAACGCTTCCATTTCAGCCCGAAATTCTCTCTCGCCTTCCACCCCTTCTCTCTGGAGCTTCTTCACTGCCACTTCTCGCCCATCGGGCAGAACTCCTCTGTACACTGTTCCGAATCCTCCCTGCCCGACTATCCTGTCATCCGAGAAGCTCCCTGTTGCTTTCAAGATGTCTGAGTGGGTGAATGATGTTTTATCCAAACGGATAACCTTAACACTACTGTCTGATGTGCCGCCACCTTTTGTGTCCTCCAACAACCACCCCGATGAAGCCATCGGTGATTTTATGACAAAGCAGACGATAATGGTCATGATTCCACAAACTATCAATGCAAGGAACAATCCAGCAACCACCAAAACCGTTACGGTTTTCGGCTGCCTTTTTGGGTTCTGCGTCGGATTGAGCTTAAAAGACTTATTGTTGGTGATGAAAGGGAGGCGTAGCAAAGGGTCCCCAAGGAACGACCACTTGTCGAATGTTGCTAGCTGACCAGTGGCAGGGACATCACCATAGATGTTTGGGTTGTAAGAGATGTTGAAATTGCTGAGATCTGACAATTTGGTCAGGCTACTGGGAAATAAACCAGAGAAGTTGTTGCCTGACAGATCAAGATTCTCTAAGCAGTTTATGTTCCCAATTTCTGATGGAATACTCCCCGAAAATCTGTTCCCAGTCGCGTTCAGTACAATCAAAGGCATTCGTCCAATCTCTGGTGGAAGCTCCCCACTGAGATCATTTTCCCCTACGTGAAGCATACTGAAATTCCTCAATTTGCGGATATCCGAAGGGATCGGACCCGACAAATAGTTCCCGCAAAGTTGCACATAACCTGTTATTCGATACCTACGGATCGTACTCCCGAGCTCGCAAACCGGGAAAATGCCAACACCTTTGAGCAGCAAATCCCAAAGGCTCCTACAGTTTTTCCTAGTCAATAAAGGATATAAAAAACTGAAAGGTGGATAATCCGCAGGTATCCATCTCCTCAAGGCCAGACATTCACCGGATCCGGGCGTGATCTTATCTCTCTCTCGGTTTAACAAGAATGTCGGCATCGGGTTCGACCCGATGTTCGCTAGCTCATGAGGGATCGGCCCAGAAAGCTCATTCCCGGCGAGGTTAAACCATAACAAGCTGCTGCAATTCCCTAGCTCTCGCGGGATTTCGCCTCTCAATGAGTTGTTTGCGAGCATTAGCCATAAAAGGGAAGTTAACCTCCCTATAGTTGGAGGTATGGATCCGTTTAACCTGTTGGAGGAAAGATCAAGAACTTGGAGTTCGTTGAGGTTTCCATATTCGGAAGGTACAGCGCCCGTGAATTGATTGTACGAAAGAGCCAAGAACGTCAAGCTTGCCATCCGAGAGATCTCAACCGGCAATGGGCCTGAGAAATTGTTGTAGCTTAAGTCCAACCGCGATAGGTTGCCCAGCTTGGTGATTCCAGATTTAACAATCCCTCCCGAGTAATGATTTCCATGCAGCAGAAGGAGCTTGACCTGCGTGAATCGCCCGAAAATCTCTTGGATTTCGCCCCGAAACCCATTCTCGCTTAGGTCGAGAGAGTGTAAGTTGGGCAGAGCCGGCAGGGTTTCTGGAATCCGGCTCGAAAAACGGTTGCTTCCCAGGTACAACCCTTCAAGGCTGAAGAGCGACCCGATTTCAGCTGGAATCGGACCTGAAAAATCGTTGGCAGACAGGTTTATGATCCTTAGACCTTTACAGTTCGATATCTCCTTGGGCAATAGACCGGAGAAGTGATTCCCTGATAAATCCAGGAACTGCAGGCTGCAATTGGGGCTGAAAATTGAACCGGGTAACCCGCCCGACATATTATTCTCAGCTAACGAAACCTCCTTGAGCCTGTCAAACCCGCCGGAAAACATGTTCCCGGTCAAATTGTTATAGCTCAAATCAATATACTCGAGATTCCGGCATTTATGGAAGGCGTCCCGAATCTCTCCGGTGATATGGTTGTTGGAAATATTGGCAACGACCAGACAGTCACAGGTTCCAGGGAGACCCGACCCGATATCCCCATGGAAGCGGTTCGTGGACACGTCGAGAACCTCCATGATTCCCTGGGCAGTGAGGTTGAGCTGCCCGTCAAAGATGTTATGCGAGAGGTTCAAGAACCGTAGGGGGGCAGCCATGCCCTCGGTCAGCAGGTCAGCCGGTAGGGCCCCACCGATCGTGTTGCCGGAAAGGTCCAGAGAGCTCAATTCGGTCAGGGCGGAGAAGTTTTGGAACATTCTGCCGGTCAGGTAGTCGCCGGCGAGGTCTATCCCGGCGACTCTTCCCCAGAGGCAAGAAACTCCGGGCCAATCGCAGGGTGACCCGCCCGTTGTTGGATTCCATTTGGTGTACCTTGATCCTCTGTTCACAGGGCTTTGCTCCTCAATAACTGCTTTCAGTTCCACCAAAACATTCCTGTCGGTCTCTTCTGAATCTCCTCCTAAAATAACACGTTTCAGAACTTAAAAAAAAAAACAGAGTCTAGATCGAAAGCTGGGAAATTAAATAGTGGGCATGCAATTCAGAAATACCTATGCAAATCAGAAAAAAGAAAGTGAAAGTGAGGAGTCGTCCTAGGAGAAGAAGATCTTTGTCGGTTTTGGGTTGTGACATGATGATCTTTCTTGTGCATGCATGAGCTCGTTACGTGTTCTTTTGATGGGTAAGGTCAGAGAAGGAGGCATATATGGATTGTCTGGTGAGAATGTTCAAGGGGAATCAAGGCGAAAATGTAGAAGCAATAGGAAAGATCCTAGCCTACTTAACTAAATTTGGTTGTTTTGGTCTATGTTCTCACTCTAAAGATAGAATTGGACTTGTTTTTTTTGCTCAGAGAAGGATTAATTCATCAAAATAACATTCAGCAAGGATACAAAATTAGAAAAGAACCACAAATAACCATCCGCTCGTGACCGATACTGAGAACTAACCTCCTGTAAAAAAGCAGTATAACTCGCTAGACCAAAATTGGGCAACTTAAAGTCAATGACGGTTACCACAGACTTTCCCTCCCCCAACCTTGATGCAAGAGTCTTACGAGGAATGAAAACACAAAAAACAAACATAATAAAACAACCTAAATTAAGATAACCAAAGCAGACAATAATAAAAACACCATGACAAGCTAGTTTTCTTCCCCACCACCATCCAACGCCTCGGTGGTGGCTCGGGAGGGGGACGGATCATTAACCCTTCATCTTGAAATATTCCTTGCAAACTCACCACCACAATTTCCACTGACATCTTCTTAATCCCTATGATTATAGCCCGAATGAACCAGGAATCCATGCTTACCTTCCCAATTGAAACCAGTGGCACAAGCGAGGAGTCCATAACCCGAGCAAGATCACGATCCAAAACTGCTTTTACGGTATTCGTCACCACAACCAAACCGCATGACTCTCGCCAGCTGCCTGTAGTCTCTCTGTGTAAAATCGAAACAAAGGAAACCCGATCTTCGATCGTAGCGATCGAAATCAGAAGAAGAGGCCTAGCGGCTTACGCCCTAGGAAATATCGGAGCATCGGCTCTCCAATTAGAATTGGACTTGTTATGATATACTTCGTACTACGTAGTAATTAAATGTCTAATTTAATTTATTTATAACATCATAAATAAGAGTAAAAATAATGTAATTTTTTAAAATAAGAGTATAATTATGCATAATTACAGTGGTACTTATTGGATGATCCTGTCGATTGTGATACAATACTTTTAGCATTTCCAATGCTACAATGTGCACGGTACACATCTGCATTAGAGACAAACACATAAATATTAGAAAATAAATTATCTCTCTCCTTATTTGAATGATTTTATACAATTTTAGTAAGTTTTTAATTTCTCCACAATGTCAAAAACAGCGTTTAGTTATTGACATTGTAGAGAAAAACTTACCAAAATTGTATAAAATCATTCAAATAAGGAGAAAGACAATTTATTGATAATATTTATGTGGCTGTTTTTCATACCACATGTGCACCGAAGATGCTGATAGTATCATATTGACAACTCATATGTTAAAGCTCAAAGTATGACATTATAATATCGATCAAGATGACAATATTTAATTCTTATCTCAAGAAATAGGAAAAAATCATATTTATAATCTTATTGTCATTTCAACAATGCTTGACGTATCCACTCTTATACCCATCTTATACCCACCATGTTTGTAAAATGTTTATTTTGTCTGTGAACACAGTTCACATACAATATTTTGTCTGTGCAAAATATTATCTCTGAAACGGGATTCACAGAAAGAAAAAAGTCTTCACAATCATAGATGGATACAAAAGTGGATATAAAATTACAAACATCATTTCTGTTGTTACTACCTCCGTCCCACCAAGATTGGGACAAGAGAAGGTGACATGATTATTAAGAAAAATGAGTTTGTGTGGTTGATATTAAATTGATAAAGTAAGAATAAAGTAAAAATGATTTAGAGCCACACAAACTTTATCAAATTTGGTATGGTACAATTTTAGTGGGACTTTTCGAAAAGGTAAAATGGGACAATTTTAACGGGATGGAGGGAGTATTTTATAGTGTGGTTGGCCACTTGGCCGGCCAAGCCTAATCTGCTAATACAAATATGGCGACGGACTAATAGTAACAATACTTGTGACATCCTAGCGAGCGGACGGTGCGGTACAAATTCCTTTATTTATCCGTTATGACTGTTGCAATTTTAATCATGCACGCGTAGTAATTTTAATCTTGTGTAGTGTATAAAAGACTGCACGGTAGAACTATATTATGTGGTTGTTTGTTAAATGGCGTTCCAGATGAAAAACGGCGGTTTGATCACTTTTAGCGTTTTTAATAAGTGAAAACGTTGTTTGGTAAATAGCTGTTCGGCACCAGCGTTTTTGGACGAAAATGTCAATATGAAAACGCTGTTAACAAGAGAGTTTTGCGTTGGTGTTTTGAAAAATGACGTTTTCTACTAGTTTTATGGTCAGACAGCTAAATTACCAAACATCTTTTGACAGCCCGCCAATTTATTCCGCTAGTCAAACCCGCTGACCGAATACGCTATTGACAACCCGCTAACCGCTAACCGTTGAATATCAAACACACCTTATATGAAAGGGTAAACTAATTTTAGGTAATAATTGAATTGAATGTTTACATATAGCTGGCATAAATGACAGCTTAAATGAGATGATAGAATTATTAATGTGATATATACGACGTATGTCTTATGAAATGTATTATAAAGTTCACATAACTAAAGAGTAGTGAACCGAATGCTATTTTAAAAAATGTTCGAATTAATATAAGTAATGTGTAGTAGTAAGTATCAAATTTAGAAGATGTTGATTTTCCAATGTCCTAACATTTTATTGTAATGAGTATTTCAATGTCCTACATTATGCGCGCGTGACTTTTTACTTTCTAATTTAGTTTATTTCTTCTAATTACATTTTGCATGCATGGCTTTTTACTTAATTGCCTTTTATTTACAAAGCTTAGTTTTTTAGCTAGCACAGACCTTAATACGTAGTAAAAAACAAAACGACCACGAATGAATATATGATCTGAAAGGCGATGTTTGGTTTCATGTTATTTGACGATAATATATAAATAACTACCTAAATGGTTTACATAATTTGTAAATTAATAAAATTATATTATTGGGTAATGGGTATTGCCGCGTTGCTTGTGTCTTTGTTAGCGAGCAACTACGAGTACAAGCCGAGTTTGGAATGGCACAACGCACTCCAAAGTTGACCACTTTCTGGGTTGGAAGTCAGAGACCATTCTGGACTGTGCTTTAATTTTTTATTTTTGTATTTCCCGGGTCAAAGTCTCTCATTTGTAAATAATTATACTCCGTATTTATTATATACGGAGTATATGTACTCATGATATATGCATATCTTATACGGAAGTATCTATATTATATACTCCGTACTACGTATTCTTGAATCTAAATCTATATTAGAGATTAGAGAAGCTAGTATTAAGAGCATCTCCAATGCTATAATGTCCACGGTGCACATGTGGCATGAGTGATAACCACATAAATATGAGCAACTAAATTATTTCTCTCCTTATTTGAATGATTTTATACAATTTTGGTAAGTTTTTTCCTGCAATGTCAACAACAATGTCAACATCTAGACGGTCTCCTTGACAATGTGGAGAAAAACTTACCAAAACTGTATAAAATCATTCAAATAAGGAGAGAAAGAATTTATTTGCTAATATTTATGTGGCTATTTTTCATGCCACGTGTGCACCGTGCACATTTTACCATTGGAGATGCTCTAAGTAGCTATATTAGCATTCGTTGGGAAGAAATTTTGGAGGGAAAGTGCCTTTATTTTAGAGAAGCATTCGTTTGGATCATATTATTATTGTATCTATTAGACATTTGCTGATACTCCTTGTTCGAAACGAGATAGAAGTATATTGTTTTATTGATGATAAAGAATCTTAATTACAATCTATACTACGGTGGGTGTCCCCAATTTAGATTTTGTAGGATTTTAATGGAGTTTAGAATTTCATCAAAATTCGGGTGTCCCCGATTTGGATTTCTGTGGAATCCATGAAAATAAGAGTATCGTCATTCATGATACCCAATTTTACGGTTTTTATGGCTTGTTACCACATAAGAAGATCTCAAATAATGTCCAAATCAATTAATTTCTCTTTATCCATGATATTAATTTACCTAGTTATTTAGGAGACATGCACTCACACGCTCACATGCACACTACATTTACACACTATATTACTACATATATTTAGTACGTTTAAATTTTTAGATTGAGTTTGGATGATTGAATTTTAATTTGATAATGTACAACGTGTTAGTTTTTTAGATTGAGTTTGGAAGTAGAATTTTAAATGTACAGTGGATAGCGCATGCACATTATGTGCAACGGATTAAATTTTTAATGAAAAGCAGCATATGACTTTTTAACATTTGGTACCTTAATTATGAGTATGCATATAAAATTGGGAGATGAGCCTAAAAGTTGGAAATAATTTTCAAATAATCCAGAGAATTTGATACCAATTTTTTTGATCAAATAATCTCTTCAAATAATCTCAAAATCTCAACCATAATCTCAAACAATATCATCCACGTCATCAAAATAATCCCTAAATAATCCGATGGATGGGGTGCCCTAACATTTCATGGATTTTGATGGATTTCTATATAAAAAAACATTGTAGGATCTCTAGGATTTCAAAATATCTTTTAAATTCCATCCAAATCCTAGTTGGAGACACCCCTACATTTATTTTAAAGATTGCAAGAAAGATATTCGGACTGATGCACTTTAATTTGAAACAAGCCAGTAAACTCTAAACCTAGTCCTTGAACTGTGAACTATGAATTACTCATTAAAAACGATTAAATCAACTATTTCTTGAAAAGATCTTTTATTTGTCACTAAAAAAGAAATAACCAAAGATCACACAAAAGAATTGGTTTTTCTGTGAGCTTATGAAAGATCAGAGAGTAATCCGCCAAAAATAGGATCTTTCTCACAAAGCAAGTTTTCAAAGTTAAAAGACGGGTTTAATGCACCGAATCCCCTCGTGATATTGAAATTCGACGCATTAGCCCCATGTGATTTGAAAAATGCGTCAAACCCCCTTGTGTTTTAATTAATCATGCACAGAACCCCTTTTATGAATAAATTTAACGATCTGGAAATCACTTTTCCTAATATTCTGATTGAATATGCAAGTAAATATGTCAAAATCTCTAAATCATACAAAAATGTTAATCATTTTTCTTTTATTTGACAATTTATTTTGTTCATAGAAGAGATTTTGCGCATAATTAATTAAAACACATGGGGGTTTGACGCATTTTTTAAATCACAGGAGGCTAATGCGCTGAATTTCCATATCACGAGGGGGTTTGGTGCATTAAACCCGTTAAAAGACTATCATTCAAAATGGCAAATTGTGTATCACCTCCCCAAAGGCAAATTTCCAAAATAAAATGACGTCCTTATAAATGAATAATAATGTTTCTCTCTAATAAAAGAAAACACATTTTAAATCTTTTTCATGCAATAAGCTAGTCATCAAAATAAAATGACGGGTGATATGATTCAAAGGAAAGTCATAGCTGGTTTCATAAAAGAGTACATAAAACAACTTTGTGAGAAATTAAAGATATTAATGCGCCAAGTTATTAGTGAGCAAATACGCTCATAAAGCAAGTCTATTTGAAAAAAGGAATAAACTTGGACGCCATATTATTATATTAACGAGCAAACACTTTTTCCATAATGAAGTACTTCGTATTAGCTGGTCATGGACCTTTGAGGTATGATCATTTTTAAAAATGGCAAAAACAATTTAAGGAAAGAACTTTTAATGAAAATGATGTTATACTGTTAAGATCCGGGATTCCATCCTAAAAGGTCAACCTGATAGGAGGAGTAATCTGGATCTTAATATAGTGTTTAATCATTCCAAAGATGTCCGGTGTGGGACATTTAACATATACTCCATCTTATTGAGCAACTCTCGCCTCGCTCTCCTCAAAATTATTATAAGGCTGCCCACAACCCACTCATTGAATAGCTAAATATGAGTTTTCCAACCCCAATTTTGCTGCAAACCCCAGTATTCAGAGGGGTTATAATGGCTGGATGGCACCTACAAAGGTGGAAATTGGTTATCTTATTCACCGGGAGAAACGAATTGAAGGTGGCAAGGAACCTGCTATGCGCCAGAAATGTGGGACCAAGGAAAATTAAATTCTCAAATTTCTTTAATTTGTTATAACTTTTTTTTATCTATATTCCAATTTTGTAAAAAAAAAATATATCAAAATTCATAATATTTTTATGATCTTTCATATGGCACCGATATAGCATATGTAAAGTTAAAAAATAAATAAATTTCATTTACTGGAGATATTTTAGGTTTAAATTTTTTGTTAAGTTGATCAGCCAAAATTAAGATCTTATGATTGAAATAATATTTTATATCTTTCAGTTATTTTTTTCAAAAATAGGCTAGACAAAAAATAATAATTTATTTTTACATCGGAATGTATGCCTTTTAAAATCACAATTATTGGTAAAAAAAACATTCACAAAAAAACAATTTATAGTATTAAAAGAAAGGCTATAATTATGAAAAAAATTTGCGGGTGAATATATTGACAGTGTTGGATTGCAGGGAAAAATTGAATTGACGGAGTGAATACGTATAATTGATGGAGAAATAGATTTATTGACGGAATGAGTTGCGGTTGGCCTAAAAGGAGATGCTCAATCAAGACTCAAGAGCAAACGTGTGTGAAGTCCAAAAGAAGAGATAAATAAGAGTTCAAAAAACATACGAGACATTAATTTTTGCGCTTTTTAGTCTTCTGACTACTATGTCATTAACACTTTTGATATTTGGCTTTTAATTTAATTTTTTTTATTCTTCGACTATTGTGCGGAAGACACTTCACGTACTTGTATTTAAATTTTTCCGTAGTTACTTACGTCCATCGAATTTAATGAGAGTTACACTTTTGATCTTTCAACTATTATCATAGTGCTATTTTTATTCCTTTGCTTATTCACTACAAAAAAACAGCGTTATAGTCACGGATTTTAGTCACGGATTTGGTCCGTGACTAGTTTAGTCACGGTCTAGTCACGGATTTTAGTCACGGATTGTGTATTACTAATAAGATTAAATGTCATTAACGTAATAATTTAGTGTAGGTTTAAACTAAACGTAGGTTTACAAAAATAATTTAATTAAAATTCGTTTGCTAAACGTAGGTTTGAACGTAGCTATTGATGTGTTAATTAAGTTAAATTAGGTAGCTAAACGTAGGTTTAAACGTAGTGATGCATTAAAAGGGAACGGAATGAACTAGTTAAATTTAGTTAAATTTAACTAAATGAATTAGTTAGATTTAATTAAACGTATGTTTAATTTAGTGAAATTATCTGCATTATTGTGCATTAGGGGACATATATTTTGTGCATTATTGTTGTGAATTCTGTGCATTTCATTTAAAAAAAGTGAAAATTAGTTGATTATATTTAGTGAAATAAATTACTTAAAATTGTGTGCATTGCATTTCATATAATTTTTTATTATAATATTCAGGCATAATGTATAAACAAAATAGAAGTTGGATGTATGATAAAGATGCGGTATTGTACGGAATGCAATCAAATTTTCTCGAGGGAGTCGGGGAATTTATTGAATTTGCACTTGAACATCCGGCTTATATGAGTGGTGATAAAATAAGATGTCCATGTTCAAAGTGTAAAAATCTCAAATTTAAAGACCCACACGAAGTTGGGTATGATTTGTACGCGGTCGGTTTTGTTCCCAATTATTATAATTGGACTTCTCACGGCGAACCTTTGGATCCATCTGTTATACCACAAACGGTAGGTTCGTCTCGTTACGTCCCTCCAGAGATGAGTGCGTGGGGAGACCGTGCTGAAATGAGGTGGGACCAACAAATGGTATATGACGCATACGGTGTACCGTCTCAATTCAACCCCCCACAACCACCTAACGACCCCCCTGAAGCCTCAACCTCGTATCAACCAGATGCGGATGAAAATCCGACATTTTATCAACCTTATGTGGATGAAGGTTTGGCTGAGAGATTTCAGGATGTTCTAAAAGTTGTCGACCAACCTCTGTATGCTGATTGTGAGGGATACTCTCAGCTATCCGCTGTTACTGAGTTCATGAACATAAAAGCCGAATACAGTCTCCCTGAAACTTGCATGAATAGAGTCTTGCAGTCAGTAGGAGGGATGCTATCGCGAGATCATACCCTTCCTGATTCATATTACCACATGAAGCAGTTAATGTCTAAGTTGGGGCTCCCTTGTGTTGAAATTGATGCGTGCCCGGAAGGATGTATGTTGTTCTGGAAGGAGGATGAGGCACTTGAGTTCTGCAAGTTCTGTGGTGGAGACAGATACAAACCTGTTCGTCAAGGTAAAAAGAAACCACGACATAGGTCTGCACTGTCTAAACTGTATTACCTCCCAATAGCTCCTCGACTGCAAAGGATGTACGCTTCGACTGCTACTGCGAAACACATGACATGGCATGTTGAGCACGAAACCAACGAGGGTATGATGGCTCACCCTTCGGACTGTGAAGCCTGGAGACACTTTGACCGCTGTCATCCTCAGTTTGCTATGGAGCCACGAAATGTGCGGCTGGGATTGTGCTCAGATGGATTTGCTCCTTTTGGCAGGTTTGGCAAGAACTATTCATGTTGGCCGGTCATGTTAACACCTTACAATCTCCCTCCCGACATGTGCATGAAAAGTCATTTCATCTTTTTGTCTTTAATTTGTCCGGGTTCCAAGGATCCTGGGCGAAAGATAGACATTTATCTTCAACCCCTTATTGAGGAGATGAAAGAATTGTGGGCCGTTGGGACACCAACTTATGATGTTTCATCAGATAAAATGTTTATCATGAAAGCTGCCATCATTTGGACCATTAGCGACTTCCCTGCCTATGGCATGCTTTCGGGATGGAGCACACACGGTCTGATGGGATGTCCGATATGCATGGAGAAATCAGGTGCCAACTGGCTCAGTTACAGCAAAAAAGGAAGTTACTTTGATTGTCACCGCAAGTTTCTCCCGGAAAGGCACCGATATCGAAAGGACAAGAAGTCTTTCATTAGAGGCAGAGCGGTACGAGAGAGCCCACCCCCGAGATTGACCGGTGAAGAAATTTATAACCGGGTTCGACGTTTTCCTACGGCTATGGAAGAGCCAAACTGTAACACTTGAGATTTAATATAAACCGATTAATAGTATTACTCATACCAACAAGGTGCATCTCCTTTTAAGGGAGCTCATTAGCCAAGAACTCCAAAGTTAAGCGTGCTTGCACGGGAGTAGTCTTGGGATGGGTGACCCCCTGGGAAGTTTCTCAGGGTGCGCACGAGTGAGGACAAAGTGCGCGTAAAAGGCTAGTGGCGGTTTGTGAGGACAGTACTATTGGTCTGGAGTAACTACCTCGGGTCCGGTGGGGCCAGGGTGTTACAGGTGGTATCAGAGCAACCCTACGACAGTGTGCTGATCCGTTGGATATCGGGCAGACACCTAGCAGGGGAAAAATTTCTGGGATTTGATTGAGATTGGTTTAAGGGCGCAACGAGGACGTTGCGATCCTAAGCGTGCTTGCACGGGAGTAGTCTTGGGATGGGTGACCCCCTGGGAAGTTTCTCAGGGCGCGCACGAGTGAGGACAAAGTGCGCGTAAAAGGCTAGTGGCGGTTTGTGAGGACAGTACTATTGGTCCGGAGTAACTACCTCGGGTCCGGTGGGGCCGGGGTGTTACACAAACCAAGAGCCATATGGGTATTGTGATACCCATAAGTGGACAAAGAGGTTACCTAGTTCTGGGAGTTGCCTTATTGGAAAGACCTTCTCATCCGTCACAATTTAGATGTCATGCACACTGAGAAGAACGTCTTTGACAATATATTTAACACGGTGATGGATTTGAAAGGCAAAACTAAAGACGGTCTTGCAGCTAGGAAAGATATGACTATTTGGTGTGATAGACCCGAACTTTCTGTTGATCTAGAATATGAGGGCAAAGAAGTTCCAAAAGCAGTCTACCAGGTCACAGAACCACAAAAGGCAGCAATATTAAAATGGCTTGCGTCTCAGAAGTTTCCAGATGGCTACTGCTCCAACTTGTCTAGATGCGTAGACATGAACAAACTTACCACGACGACGAGCATGAAAACTCACGATGCTCATGTAATAATGCAAAGACTTCTACCAATTGCACTAAAAGAGATGCTCCCTGAACACGTATGGTCCTGCATTACTGAAATCAGTTTGTTGTTTCAATCGATATGTTCCAGCGTTTTGGATGCGGCATCCCTCCGGAGACTACAAGAGTCTGTTCCCATTCTGATGTGTAATCTGGAAAAAATAATGCCACCATCGTTTTTCGATACAATGGAACATCTCATAATACATCTTCCGTATGAGGCTTTGACTGCTGGGCCCGTCTTCTATCGGTGGATGTACAGTTTTGAAAGGTTAGTCACAATTTCATTTAAAAAAAGAATATTTATTTCACAATAACTATTAACATGTGTATTATTGCATTATTGCAGATTTCTAGGAGAGCTGAAAAAGAAAGTGACCAACAAGGCACACGTTGAGGCTTCAATTTGTCAAGCGTATCTTCAACAAGAAATCTCAACGTTCTCGTCTTTTTACTTCGAGCGTGACGTCATCACCAGAAGGAAGAGACCTGCCCGGAACGATGACATTGGCGAGGATTTATATGAAAATGTAGTTTCCATCTTCAATTACCCAGGCAGAGGTAAAGGTGCTGCGACACAACGATACATCCTGGGTGGGGAATTGCAAATTGCGCATACTTATATCCTCATGAATTGTCCAGAAATCTCACCGTTTTATCAGTAAGTTAAATTTGTAGTTATAATTGTAATACTTATACATTAAATTTGTAGTTAATTTATAGTTTTTTAATTTTTGACTTCACAGTGAATTCCGAGCTTCTTTATCAGCCTTTCCTGAGAATGAAATTGATGCGTTGGTGGACTCTGATTTTGTAAATTGGTACAAGTATCAGGTATATATATACACACATATATATAATTATAATTGTAATACTTATACATTAAATTTGTAGTTAATTATTAACTAAGTTTTTCAATATTTACCTAATGTTATTATCATGTTTATATTTACAGATCAATATTGAACTGATGTCCGTGACTAAGTCCGTGACTACAGGCGTGTTTTTTTGTAGTGATTGCGCCAAAATCATAGTAGTTGGACTAAAAGTATCAATTTCACAATACTCAATGGACTAAATGTGGGAAATTTTGAATTTGAAGTCTAAAAGTGTCTATCATACAATAGTCGAAGAACTAAAATGAAAAAAATTAAAAGTCTAGATTAGTACCAAATGTGCCACTGGCAATGTTCTAAAAGGCGCTAGGCGCTAGTCGGGCGCCAGCCTAGCGCCTAGGCGGCTAGGCGGACGCCTAGTCGGGGACTAGTTGGACACATACATATTGCATTTTTATCTATATTTTTGCATAAATAGTCAGCCGCCTATGGCGTCCAGTTTCCCGCCTAGAGCGCCTAGACGAAAATCGGGGCGTCCAGCCACCGCCTAGCACCTAGGCGGGGACTAGTCGGACGCCTAGAACGATTTTTAGAACAGAGGCCACTGATATAATAACCGAGGAACAAAAGTGGTAAAACTGGCGAGACATTTATTGAAGAACACTCTTGCACACGTTCATACATTGTTATTGTCGTAGCCTCAGCCCTCAGCATATCCATATTTTACTTCTTTGTTACTTGCACAGGTGTCACATTCGTTGTCACTAAAAGTCATCAATAATGTTGACAACATGCTTAGGCGCCATATAAAAATGAATTATAAAGAGGCCGGTCCAAAATTGTCATGCATCCCTTTTATCACGGAGTTGCCTTGCTTGGCATTCATTGTGATGCTCACAACCGTCACATACAAGTTTTAGTGACAAAATCGAAATTTATATGATGAACATTTTCATCATATTCTGTTAGAATTCTTGTAATGGCCTAACTATTAAGTTTGTAAGTGTACAAGGTATCTTCATTTGAAACTTCTTAGGCCTAACAAGACCTAATGTTTTGTGTGTTACCATCAATAATAATAATAATAGTAATAATAATAATAATAATAATAATAATAATAATAATAATAAAAATAATAAAAATAATAATAATAATAATAATAATAATAATAATAATAATAATAATAATAATAATAATAATAATAATAATAATAATAATAATAATAATAATAATAATAATAATAATAATAATAATAATAATAATAATAATAATAATAATAATAATAATAATAATAATAATAATAATAATAATAATAATAATAATAATAATAATAATAATAATAATAATAATAATAATAATAATAATAATAATAATAATAATAATAATAATAATAACAACTACTACTACTATAATTATTGTTGTTATTGTTGTTGTCGTTATTGTTGTTTTTGTTGTTATTTTTATTATTGTTTGTATTGTTATTATTGCTATTCTTTATTATTATTATTATTATTATTATTATAGTTGATGCTATTGTTGTTATTGTTGTTATTAATGTTATTATTGTTGTTAGTGTTATCGATGTTATTAGTGTTATTATTGTTCTTGTTGTTGTTGTTGTTGTTGTTGTTGTTGTTGTTGTTATTGTTGTTACTATTATTGTTGTTATTGTTGTTATTATTGTTGTTGGTGGTGTTGTTGTTGTTATTATTATTGTTGTTGTCGTTGTTGTTATTATTAATATTTTTATTATTGTTATTGTTGTTATTATTGTTATTGTTGTTATTATTATAATAGTTCTCATTATTACTATTACTATTACTACTACAAAAAAACACCTCATTAGCAACAAACTTTTCAACAGAATCAATAAGAAAAGTCTTTGGAAAAAAGCTATTCCAACAGATTTCCAACGAATACTGTCCATTGGTATACGTTGGTTGGAAACATTTGCGACGAATAATTCCGATGGAATTATTTTATTTCCGGCTTTCCAACAGGCGTATTCTGTTGGAAATGTCCCATCGATTTCCAGCCGAGTATTTCGTTGGAAAATCACTACTCGAGCAGACATATTATTCACCATACCAACGGACTTCCAACGAATCATTCCGTCGGAAAATTAAACAATTTGAAAAATTCGAGCCGTAGATGGTTGTTGAAAAATTATATACATATATAATTCCAAAAGAAAATTGCGAAAGAAAATTGCAAAAGAAAATTCCATATGAAAAAAACTCCAAAAATAATATCACGAATTGCAAATGCATAAAACCAGAATTTAATAAACAAGCCAGAGTAATTAGTTTATTAGAACACCATCAAAATACTTCAACTAATTGTTCACAACAAAATATAAAAGTTGAAATACAATCCTTCAATGTCCACCAGCATTGCCCCCTTCATCCTCAGCTAATATATTGTTGATA